CTCCACACAAACCTCAATTCTGCAAGCTCTTTGGAAGCATTAATGCCCTTCCATCTTCTTAATCCTTGGGATGGAGCAGATCCATGTTCACAAACACTCCAGGCCATAGAAAGAGGGACAATGTTTTGTTTGCAGGGGTATTTTGGAGCATGACAGATCAGGCAAGGAGAGGGATCCTTTTAGAAACCTAATTACAATTAATAAACCTTGGCTGTAGCTCCAGCATTTCCACAGCAAATCACCCCAAAGGGGTGTGTTAATCACTAAGCGTCAGAAGAAAACTTGTTGTGGGATGAAGCAGAAAAATGACATCCCTTGCCTGGAGCACGGGTGGTTCCAGGTACTCAGTAAACAGGTATGTTTCTCTCCTGAGTCTGACACTTCATGATGCTCAGCCTGTCCTGGCTCTTCTGTGCCCATGGTAGACACGATCACATATGGTGGACACGGTCAGCCCAGGAGTATGTGGGGACCGACACTGACACAGATGTTGGCACATGCCCACCATCTCACAGTGACCACGACAGGGACATCCAGGGTGGCCTCCACACCATCCAGCTCCCCCGTGCAGAACTCAGGGCTGGGTTCCCCAGCACAGTAGCCCGAGGGGAGCAAAGCTGGTACTAATAGTAAATAGCTGCAGAACGAAAGCAGCTTGGTCTGGCTGTGGTTTTGTCCTGCTGTAATCCATTAATTGCTGCAGCTCGAAAGAACAAAGGCAGAGATAATGGTCTCGGGAGTTATGAACCGAAGTCAAACCTGGGCTGAATCAGCAGACGATCCTTTGATTTCAGAGGGAAAACTTATCATTTGTGGCACGGGAGGAATTTATCTCTCTGCTTTACTTGCAACACGCCACATCCCCCGAGCTGCTGAGCCGGGTTCGGGCTGGACCGACGGGGCTGGACCAACAGGGCCTGGAGCCATTATGTTCCCGGGACGGCCCCTCTTTCCATATTCTCCAGGGCCGGTCGGTGGCGGACGCAGCCCGCAGGCAGCAGCGGCTGGCGGGGCGCGGTGCCCCTGCCGGGCTCCGCCGCTGCTCCGCGGGCTCCGGTGCCCTCTAGTGTCGCGGGCGGCGGTGGCACTGCCCGGGCGCCCTCGGCCGGCGGTGCAGGCACCCGGAGGTGCCCGCGCTGCCTCCCCGCCCGTCGGTGCGGCGGAGCGGAGCCCGGCGGCGGCGAAGGGCCCCGCGGGGAACAGCCCCTTTCCCCTCGCTTTGCCTCGCCCCTAAACTGCGCTCAGCCTGCTTCTGGACCGGAGCGGGCTGTTTATTCTGTCGCAGTCAAAAAAGTCAGGGCGGGAGCAAAAGGAAAAACAAAGTCTGTTTTTCAAAGAATAAGGCTTCCACGGCTGTTTTGGCATCTTTTAATGTCGAAAGCCAAACGCAACAATGAAAGCAAAACAGCTCGACGTCGTGGCAGCAGCAGCAGCGGCGTCGGTGTGAAAAGAACGGACATGGGGAGGGAAAACGACGGGTGCGGGGAGCTACCTCAAACAGCCATGTGGCGAATAAAAATAAAGGCTAGGGAGGGCAGGCTGGGCAAAGTTAATTTCTTTTGTCTGGCTGCCTGTCCTCCCAGTGACACGGGATCCCTGCTATTCAGAGCCAAATTCTGTTGAACAAACAAAATGAGGGAATCTGTACTCGTGGAAAGATGGAAAGAAATAAAAATCTGGTCGGACTGTAAATGTACACAAGACCCTCCCGCCGCCAGAACACATTTCCCAGAGGGTCTCGGGCCCTTGGCGTTCCCGTGCTTAGTTCTCCTTCCCAGGTGAGGCAGCCCTAGGCGATAGATGTGAACACAGATGCGATAGATGTGAACACAGATGTGCGGCCGCTCTGCTTTCTCCCTCCCTCAGAGGTTTGAGGGGGTCTCTGCTCCAGGCTGTAGCTGCTCTTCAGGCAGGGGCTCCTGCTCTAAGAGGTACAAAGGGTGACTGCTGCTCCGTGCATGGCGGAACGTGGGTAACGACAATCAAACCCAGACAAGCCTTCCCATGCAGCCAAAAGGCTGCGGCCCCTCAGCGGAGCCCGGCCCGGGGCACCCCTCTGGCCTGCCCAGTCCCGCCGGTGCCACACGAGCCACCTTGGGTTGTTCCACAGGCTGATCCCGTTAACCGCTCCCCGGCTCACCCTTGGGAGAGAGCCGCAGTAAAGGATTTATTACTTGAAACAAATTGTGATTTCCCCAGGGAGGGGGATGCTGAGCGGGAGAGGGGAGGAAAGGGAGCCTCCAAGGCTCCCAGCCCCCCTGGAAGCGTCTGAGAGTGGAGAGAGCCGCCCGCAATAACCCGGGCCGTCGGTGCTCCCGCTGCCCGAATTCTGACGGCGCCGCGGGCCCGGGGAGGGGGACACACACCCCTGCCCACGCCGGGGGGCAGGTTGGGAGCATAAACAGGCGAGAGCGGCTCTAGCCCGGGCGCCGCACTTTGTTCGAGACGGGCAGCTTCCATCTGTTACCACATAAACACAAGCTAACGGGATGCTTTACGCTCCAGCCCTTCAGGGGAGGGGGAGGCGGGAGGACAGGGGAGAGGTAAAAAATCCCCCCACCCCCAGCCTGTCCTCTCGCTAACCCCACGTCCCCCTCGCCTCCCTGGACGGGACCCCCCTGCACCGCACGGGGCGGGCGGCAGAGCTCAGCAGCCGTCCTGGAGGGTTTATTTTAACTACTACCTCCTCTGAGAGGGAGCGATCCACAGGCACCGCCGGCCCGGCGGAGAGGGATCGGCCCAAGAGCAGAGCGGGCAGAGCCCAGCTCCCGCCGGCTCGCTGCTCCTCGGGCGGCCCTTGGTGTGGGGAAGGGAAAGCTACGTCGGGGAAAGCGTCACCGTTCCCCAAAGGGTCCCTGAGCGACGGGACGCCTCCGTCCCCGTCTCCACAGAGCCGTCGGGCCCCCGCCGAAGGGCAGACTGGCCTAGCAGGCAGCCTTGCCAGTCGCCCAGTTTACAATTTTTATTTTTGACTGTGTCTTGTGAAATCCCACGTGGAAGCCGTTAACGACCCCTCGATAATGATCACGACAAAGGCATTATTCAAATGAGGCAGGTAATTGCAACCAGAAGGCGCCTCCTCCCCTTTCCTTTTGCTCCTTTCTTTTCGAAAGAGTAACTCTCGCATTACATCCCATCCTGATGGTATTTTGCCAGGAATCAGCCCGCTCGTTGAACCAGACCCGCTCACGCCGGTACATCGCGGCCCGAGCCCTGCAGGATCGCCCCGGCGCACAGGCAGCTGATGCTCATCTTCGAGGGGTTCAAATTTGCGAGCCTGTAGCTCTGTTCCAAGTAATGATAAACCATTTTCTCGACAAATTAAGGGGTTCAGGATGCTGGGTGTGCTCGCCCTCTCAGATGGAGAGTTCCAGGGTGCGGTGTGGGTTCTTTTTTTCTCCTGTGTTGTTTGTTTGTTTGGTTTGGCTTTTTTTTTTTTTTCCCTTCCATGCTTTTTTGACTCACTGGGAGCCTGTTGTTTATTCACGAGCATTACGGTATCCTGTTAGCATTCCGACCAGGGGCTGCTCATAGATCTGACTCCGATGATTTCCTGGAGGAACATGTGGAAGCAATAGCGGGGTTGTGCACTCACCCGAGCCGAGGATGCACTAGTGGAGGGCGTGCAAAGGGGCCGGGAGCGCCGCCGGGAACCTTGAGAGCCCAGCTAGGGGTACCTCAGCCCTGAGCGCGCATCCTTGGGAGTTGGTTCTTCTTTCTGCCTCCGTTCTCTTCGGGGCATCTTCGTCTCAGAGGCTGAACTCTCCATTGCTTAGGAAAGAAAAAAAAATCAAAACAAAACAAACCTGGGTCCTGACTCTTGACTTCGAGAATAAATTTCTGTTTAATACTAAATGGGAGAAAGAGGTGCGGATGGTGGTGGTGCTGGACTGGGGAAGGAAGGGAACGGGAGAAGCCCCGGCACGCAGCGGCGGGGCCGGTGCCCTCCCCAGAAGGCAGGCGGCGGGCAGGGACCCGCTCCGCTCCGTTCCTGGGGCTGCACTGCCCCCTCTCCTGCGGCCGCCGCATCGCCGCGCCCGCCGGCCGCGCTCGCCGCGCTCCGCACGAAGCCTGCAGCGAAAGGGCTGCGAGGGCACCTCCCCGGCGGCTCCCTCGGCCGCCCCTTATCGCCAGCGATAGCGACGGCCAACAAAGCAGAGATACCCAGCGCTGGTTGCCCGGCGGGGATCAAAGCTCCGTCTGGAGCGGGTTCGAACAGGACGGGCTCGGACGTGCGCTGCCCGCGCCTCCGCCGCCACCTCCGGCCCTTGTCGTGTCCCTGCTTTGGGCATTACTGGGGTCTGCTTGAGCAGGGCAAAGCGAAGGCAGAGGCGAAGAGAAGAGTGTTCTCGGTCCCGTCGGAGCTGCGGGCTTTGGGGAGGCTGGCTCCTGGCGAAGGTTACCTTTCGTTGTGTCTTTCATTCATAAATGTTAGTGATTCTTCTCTTCCCCCTGTCTCTCTGTGCCTCCTGGTCCTGGCTGGCTCACGGCCGTCCGTGCAGCTTTCTAGCCCAAACCCGAGCGCAGCGGTGTACAAAGGACACGAGGAAGCCGCGAATTCGTTTCCAAATCAAACTCCCCATCCATAAACTCACACTGTAAGCGTGGACATCGAGCCCGGCGCCCGAGCCACCGTCCTGGAGGGTCTGAGGAGGGAAGACTCATTCATGAAATTTGGGAGCACTCTGAGTTTTCGTGAAAGTTTTTGGGGTATTTTTTTTTCTTCTCCTTCTTCTTTTTTTTTTTATTTTTTATTTTCTCCCCCTGCAGAGCAAAACTCCCCGCTTCCCCCTTTCCTCCCCCTCGCCCCTGCCATATGGCCAACCTCCCCCTCCCCTGCGAGGCTGCCGAAATCTGGAGGCAGAGGCTGGCCCCCCTGCCTGCGTAAGAGCCTCCCGCCGGCGCGCCCGCCTCCGGCCGCGGGGCTGGGGGCGCCGGGCGAGCCAGCAGCTCTTATTCTGAAGGGGCCTGAGGGGGGCTTCATTTCCTGACAGCTATTTACTTAAAGCAAATGATTAGTTTTGGAAGGATGGTCTATAACATTGAATCAATTACGGGACGCGGTTTGTGAGACCATTACAGTCGGATCGGGAGGGAGGGCGAGCGAGAGGGAAAGAGCGCGGCTGAGCAGGGAAAGTCACAAAAGACGTGGACATATTTTGGATGTTTTACAATCTGCAGGATTGGGGCTGCGGATTGTAAAGGAGAAGGTAAGAGGTGCGGGGCATTTTCCCCCCACATTTTTTCCTTTTTTTGCGCCTTTTCTCCCGCGGTTTTTTCTTCGTTTATTTTATCAGTTTTCTTTATTTATTTGTCGAGGGGGTTCTTCTGGCTTTTTTCTTTTTCTTCCTTTTTTTTTTTTTTTTTTTTTCCTTCCCCCCGATGCTCTGAGCCGAGCGGAGGGCTTCTTCCCGCGGGGCGCAGGCGGCGGGCGCTGGTGACCCCGCGGCGGGAGTGGGGGTGCAGCGCTGCGCCGCGCCGGCCGTCGGGGTGCGGCGGCGAGCAGCGCGGGCAGCGCTAATGACAAACACATTGGGACGGCGGCGGCCACCGCGCCGCATTCCTGCCGCGGGGGCGGGAGCGACCCGCCGGGCTCCGCGGGCAGCGGCCGTGCCCGCCCCAGGGGGGACAGCGGGGACGCGCACCGACCAAGTAAGCGGCTCCCTCTCTTCCCGCATCCCTCGCTCCCTTCACCGCGCTGCTCTCCCGTCCCTTCCCCCACCCTTTGTTTTTCACCACCTTCCCTCCTTTAGATCCCCTTTCTCACCTCGCTCCCCCTGACCCGGTAGCCTAAAATGCCCCGAGATCCCGAGCGGAGGCACGCACACAAGCCCCGAAGGGCGACCCGAGCTCCATCCCTGCGCGCCCCGTCTTTTCTTTTAAAGTGTCTCGGTGAAAGGGAAGATGCTGAATTTAGACAGGGCTGGTACCTGGAGCCTTTCCAGCCTGCAGCCCCTCTCTCAACGGGAATGCCAGCCCTGCCGTATGCCCTGCCGGACTGCTGGACCCCACTGCTTCCTGCCCCGGGAAGGGAAAAGACTTCGCGGCCACCTTATGGATTTTGTCAAGCGGAGTTGCAAACTTGCCAGCCTCTGCCAGGCCGAAGTCCCCTGGAAAAGTCCTAGGAGCAAGTAGGAAATGGCTTTTTGGCTGTCCGCGGCATTGCTCAACATTTTTGGACGCGAATCCCATAGCTCAGGAACCGTTCCAGAGAACAGGACTTGGACAGCTTTTTCTGGAGCCAGCAGCGACAGATCTAGCAAGGCAGCAGCAGCAGTCCCAGGGCACAGCCGGCAGCCCCCGGGGCTCGTCCGCGTCCCGCCGGGGAGGCGGCTGCGGACCAGGGGCGGGAGCGATGCCCTGGCCCCCACCAGCGCCGGGGGCTGTTCCCAGCGCCCCTCGACGGGATTTTCGGCGCGCCTCTTGCCAATGTTCGAGCTCCCTAGCGCTCCTGCGGGGCCTAAGTCTGCACGCCCGGAGAAGGCAGCGCATCGCCTCGGCCCGATGGGACCCTACGAGCCCGTTCCCGGGGCTGCGGGCGCATCGCTCCCTCTTGGACCCATAGCTCCCAGGGGGGCACAGCCTCTGTCCCCCGCCGGGACCCCCGCCCCTCTCCAGACCCCGCGCCCCGGGGCTTCGTGCTTCTTTTGATGAAGAGGGCTGGAGAAGAAGCGTCGGGTCGTAGCACCGGCGCCGTAGGGAAATACGTCTGTGCTCTGCCCCTCTCCGTCTCCCCTATCCCGCTTTTTCTTTTCCCCGGCTGGATTTTCGGCGCGCCTCTTGCCAATGTTCGAGCTCCCTAGCGCTCCTGCGGGGCCTAAGTCTGCACGCCCGGAGAAGGCAGCGCATCGCCTCGGCCCGATGGGACCCTACGAACCCGTTCCCGGGGCTGCGGGACCCATAGCTCCCAGGGGGGCACAGCCTCTGTCCCCCGCCGGGACCCCCGCCCCTCTCCAGACCCCGCGCCCCGGGGCTTCGTGCTTCTTTTGATGAAGAGGGCTGGAGAAGAAGCGTCGGGTCGTAGCACCGGCGCCGTAGGGAAATACGTCTGTGCTCTGCCCCTCTCCGTCTCCCCTATCCCGCTTTTTCTTTTCCCCGGCTGCCCCGCATTAAGGAAAAAAAAAAAAAAAGGTCGTCTCTCCAGCTTGGCAAAGGGTTTCCTATTGTTTCCCAGACAAACAGTGAAGTGGCTGGGAGCTGCCGTCTCTGCTAGGTTTGCTCGGTGTCCCGGGCAGCCTTTGATGTGCAGCGGCTCCAGCCGTCGGGCTGCGCCGAGGGTGGGCGGACCGAGGGCAGCCGCGGCAGCGCCGCTGTCCCGCTCCCCGGGGGCTGCCGCGGGCTCCCCACGGCCCGGCAGGGTCTGTCGAGCGCTTGATGGGGGCTGGAGGGTGTGAACGGAACTTCACCACCATCCACAGCCCAGTCCCGAGGGGCTGCAGGCGGCAGCTGCCTCCCGACGGGACGCACCGGGGGAAGCGGGATGGCTTGTTGCGCTCTCGGCGTGTCCCAGGGCCGATGTAGAGCCCAGCTGGAGTCCCAACTCCGCTGACTAAGCTCTGTGTCCTGAGATGGGACAAGACACAGGATCAAAGCAAAGAGACAGGAATCAAAGATTTCTCTGTCATCGTCTCATCAAAATCTGAACTGTGGAGATGCGACTTTTAACTGTGTGTGTAGAAACGCTAGGGAAGGATCTCCCAGCAAGGGACTTCGGGTTTAGCTTCCAGTTAACAATGAGTGTTTGAGCCGTCAGCTAAACAGTGATTTAGCCAACCTTAAAGCTTGGGGAAAAAAAGTTTGCAGAAAAATGAGACCTCACAAAACAGCCGGATTTAGGAGTCCACAAGCAAACAGCTTCTCAGCCTGCAGGCACTCTCCTGCTGCTTTTAAACGAGATCCCTTGTTCTGGTACTCCTCTTCAGGCACTGAGGGGCAGGAGCTGTGCCAGTCCAGCTGCCATCGGGTACTGGGACCATCTTTGCTGTTACTAGTTTGTTGATGTATGGGGAATCTTCATGTGGCTCTGAGGGTAATACATAGGTATTAGGTTTCAAGAAAGCAGGAAGTAATAAATATTTTAATAAAATACCTCTCTGCTACAGCATTGGGCTAGGATTGAAGTAAAGTGTATATAGACAGAAAGTCTTGCATAGCACAGACCTCACAAATTATTTTCAGCTATACCAGTTGTCTAAAAAGGAGGCTGAAACGTATAACTTTATATAATCCTTGCCTTGCTTGCTTCTTTATTTCATCATGACTACAATCTTACCCACTTTTGTACGTGAGCTCTAAAATTTTTAGTAGATGTTTCCTTTTTCTGCCTTTGAAGGCTTAAAGACAAAGGAATGACTTCTGAGAGGTGATTTTTCCTGGTAGTGGTGAGAATTGCTGATAATTTAAAAAAAAACAAACAAGAAAGCAAATGATCCTTTCTCTCCCTTATGCCTTGCTCTCCTGATTGACTCATCTCTTTCGAGCCTATGAAGCTTTGTGTGGGTACCCAAGGGAAAAGTTTGCAATAGCTAGGCTTCCTAGTTCTTTTGGTCAACAGACATGGATATTTTTTTCCGCACAAGCGCTTCTCAGCACTTGAGTTGGGATCTGAGCTGTTCTTTGATTTGATTCTGAGAACCTAAGGAAGATGTATTACTTGGAAGTGCTAGCTGGTTTGGTTTTTTTTAACTTTCCCCCCCTGTTTTCTGGGACAGTTTGGAAAACCCTCCTTGGATCAACTGAGAAAATCTAGGCTTTGCAATTCCCCCACCACCTTTAGCTCCTAGACTGAGAGACTCTGTCCTGCAGGGTTAGGCTGAAGAATTTGGACAGACTAGAAGGCTCCTTGGGAGGCAGCCTCACGGTGTCCTGCAGAGCACAAAGTACTCTGCAGGAGACCAGCAGTGGGCTCCTCTTGTTGCATGGCTATTCCTTGGGTTTTTCTTGATGCATAGTTTTTCTATGCATGGATTCAAATATTTGTAAAGGGCCATGGAACAAGCCTCATTTTGGGAGAATATTTATGGTAGTCTTTTTCATTGAAGAGCTTTGAGCCTTTCCCCAGCAAAACCATCAGACCCACATGTTAGCGCTGCAGGGCAGCGCTGCTCTTGTGGAGAGTTGAGTTTGCAGTTTGGGAACTGAGGACTGAGAAATGTTTCAGAAGGTCCTGTCTGAACATTTACATTCAGCTGGTGACATATACCACAAGAAAGAAATGTCTTTCCTTGGGCTGGCCTTAGCTCTTCCTGGAAAAGATCAGCTTTCCCAGAAGGACAGACTGCCACTCTGACAAAATCACGACTGAAATTACCCAGCCCTCTCATAACAACGATAATCATATCATTATGTGCCAAGATTTACAATCCAAATACTCTCCTATCACTTATGTAAATACAGAGAAAATGGGACCAGGGTTGGTGTGTTGTTGGGTTTTTTTTTGTTGTTTTTTTTTTTTGTTTGTTTGGTTGGGTTTTTTGTTTTTGTTTGTTGTTGATTTTGGTTTTTTGTTTTGTTGGCTTTGTTGTTGTTTTTGTTTTTGGGGTTTTTTGTTTGTTTATGTTTTAAATCACATGAAATTAAAAATGTAGGAATTTTGAATTTTAAGTTGATCCGGGAGACCCAGTTTAGGCTGCTAGGTTGGAGAGTAGCGCTGCCTTTTGCAGGACAAGAAATGTGGCTGCTTATTGTGGATCAACATTGCCATCCTGTGGCTGCGAGTGCGAACTCCAGCGACTGGGCGGCTGGCAGGAAATCAGCCCAGCAGCCTCCGGGGTTCGGGAGATGGGCTGGTTTTCTGTCTTGACAGAGGTCTTCGGTTGGTTCACACCAGTATGAAAACAACATATACCCTTGGCTCTTCTCGGTCCCCCGCCGCTCTTTAGAACACTCACCTAGGAATATCGTAATTTTCTAAGCATGTATTTCCGTTGAGTTTCTGAACATTGATTTTACCTTGTCTTTTGTGGCACGGTCAATGAAACCTTTCTTTATAGGAAGGCAATGCTTGGCAGTTAGTGTTTGGAAAATTGACTCCTGACTGATAACAGATCTTCAGAATTAGTTTTCTGATTTTTTTTTTTTTAACAGTGAAAGTGCACCACACGATAAATACCAGAATTTCAGTCAGAACCTTTCAAAATCTATGTAAATTCAATGACTGTGCAACCTGGGGCAAGTCCCTGCAAAGAGTTTGGCAAATCTGTCAGTGCATTATGTTGCTTTTTTACTATATAAACGAGCTTCTATTTTAGCTAGCAATGTTCTGTGTATACAACAAAACAAGGTTTGCTCAAACTCACATCGTATGTGTTATGCTGATACTGGGTTTCAGCTTGCATAAACCTGCGGGCTTCAGCAAGGCTACACCAAGTTATGGACTGATAGACCAGTGTCAGGAACTGAACCTGATGTGTTTATCCAGGGCTGAGATTTGGATAGCTGGGGACAAAGATGGCTGGTCTGCCATAAAGAAGGTAAAGCAGCTAAAAAGTATGTGATTGTATGTGATTGTATGTGATTGTAAATATAGAAAAACCAGGATAGATGTACTTGCTTGGTGTTGTGGGAATGAGGAAACTCTCTTGCCCATAAGTGCGAAATGGCGCCTGTGTTGAATCCTGAGTCGGGCATGGATGTGTGAGGATATGCTGGTGATGGCACCAGCATTCTTAAGTCAGATGTGTGATGTAACTGAATTCAAATAGGTTTGAGTAGGAGGGATGGTGAATCCTTACTACATTATTCTGTCTTTCACAGTGAAGAAGTGTTGCTCTGGGTCTTGATGAGATTAAGGGGTCATTGACGAAAGATTAAAGCTCTGGGTTGCGAAAGAAGAGCCAGATGGAGAAAGCAAATTTAGTTAAGTCCTTGTGTTTTTAAACTGCAATGCTACATTGAGACACTCATTGATTTCAGTGTCAGCCCAACCAAGACAGCAAGCTCAAAGTAGCACTTTGGAAATGCCATCACCTGTATTTACATCATTGGGCTTCAGTCCTCACACACACAGCTCTGCAACAAGTCCACTTCAGCAGAGCTTCTGGTATGCAAGAGATGAACTAGCTTTGTTTTTTCCTCTCCTTTGCTGCACCACTTGCACTGAATAGTCTGGCAAAACAACACAGGATGGGGAGAGAGTTGCCTTTTCAGTCAGAAAAGGGAGGGAACTTGGCAGAAGTGGGGTAACATTGTCTTGTGGATCTTGGGAGATTGGGAGACAGAGCAATAAAGCAGACCATGGTAGGTCTTTAAAGAGTTACAGAGGGTTACTTTATCAGAAAAAAATGCAGGGTATAAATGTGATAAAAATGAATAAAGCGGTTGAAAGTGAGGGAACTATTTGATATCCAAGAGTCTGTTATTGATGGGAGACAGATACATAAACACATGGCAATTATTGCTAATTGAAGAAGCAGGCAAGGTGCCTTGTCTCTGCTGGAACATTGTTAGCTGGATTTCTGAAGGTGTTTGTACATGTTTTTGAGGCAGGTAGTCTTCTCATCCTTCTTCTGAGACCTTTGTGTTTGAATGTAAAGTTCTTTTGCTCTGCTCCACCCATTGCAGGAGAAAAGCAGGACTAGATCAGAAACACTCCTTGGCATGTTGTAAGCGTTTAGCTCCCATATGGCACTGCCACAGCTGGAATAACTAGATGCACCTACGTGCTTTCATATCTCAGCATCAGGAACTGAATACCAGAGGATGAGTAGAAACTCTCCAGAACCTTTGAAAAATAGTCCCTGTCTTGGCACATCATCCTTTATTTCACTCCTTGGTCAGTGTTTCAAATTAGGGGCTCTTCTGTGCAGTGTTTTTTTAATCTATATTGGATTTGGGCCAAATCCAGTTGCTGTTAGAAGTCACCAACAAAGCATATGTTGGTTTCAATGGGAGGATTGCAGGATCTTCTCCTTTAGAAATTACCTAGTATGCTGCTTGAGGGTTTTATGTAGAAATGTCATTACATGGCACAAAAATTACATAGATGCTTACTGCTCTTGTTGCCTCCATAAGACAGATGCTTTAGGATTATATGTTTGAAAGCTGAAGTAATTGCATGTGATCTATGACTCTCTACACTGTTGGGGAGACTAGATGCTCTATGAATGGCACTGCTGGCCTACAGTCTGTAATGGATTTATTTCATTAGAAAATTTCAGCATGTGTTTTAAATAGTGTGTCTCTTGATCAAGGGAATTCTTGTTAAATAAGCAATAAGAACTATTGTATTACATTGTATTCTGTAAGCTATATATACACATATGCACAATGGCAAAACAAAAATATCACTCAGGGTTGTACTATTTGTAATAAGAGTGGCTTTAAAATGTACTTTTTCTCCAATAAAAGCTGCTTGCAGCTGAAAGGTCAGAATTTACTGCATGAAAATGTTCCATCTTCATTGATGCTTGTGAGGGTGTTGCCTCTGTGCAGGGGCACAGTTTCTGTGGGCTCAGTCCCAGAGGCTACAGTGGGAGCAGAGCTGCCTTCAGGCTGTTGGAGAGGGGATGCACCAGGACTTGGCTCCTCACACCAGGACTTGGCTCCTTACACTGCCAGTGGAGAGAAGGGGCCGTGGTGTCTCCTCTGCCTGTGACCGGTCTGTGGCCACACACACCTTGTGGCAGTAGGTGGCATGGGTCTCACCGGGCTGGGGCTGTGAAGTGGGGTCCCTGGGCCACTCCTCTTGGTGGCACTGTATGGAGTGATGGGAAGCTGCACTTGGGCGCTGCAGAAGAGGGGTCCTGCTAAGTCTTATACAGTTGTCAGTCCATTAACTCTCTCTCTTGCCTTCTCCCTTCTGTTTCAGTTGTTGGCAGCTATGGGTACTTACCCACAGACGTTCCTGATACTGGGATGTTTTCTCACAGGTAATGTTCCTCAATCCTCTAAGCTTCCCCATCTCTAATTCTTCATAAATCTGTGTTTAAACTCGCTTTCATTCTGCCCACAATAACAAATGCCACATGGTTGCCAACTGGTCACAGACCTGGTTTTTCTGCTTTCCCAACCCGGGTAGGCTATGACAAGGCCTACTGAGCAGGCAGTACTTCCACTGGCCCATATTGGCCACGTTGTCTCTCCTGTGCTGCTGTGGCCTCGCACCCGGCTGGTCTGAGTGTGCAGGAGGGTGAGCTGCCCACCTGCAGCGGGGGAGCTCCGGCCGGGCCGCCCGTGTGGGCTCCCTGCGCCTCCCGGGCCGCAGCGCCGGGGCGCCGGCCCAGCCTCGCCTGGCCTGCTGCTGGTGGGAGGGCAGGGCTGGCTGTGCCGCAGGGTGACAAATATAGAAAGGGCCTCTGCAGAAAGGTAACTCGGGGCAGGAGTGGAAAGTGATTTCAAAGGCAGTCTGGATTCCTGGTGCTGGTTTATTGCAGAGTGCCAGCTTCACTCAGCGGGTCTAGGTGCTCGTTTATTGTACAGGTCATTCGGCAAACTGAAACCACAAACATATTTCTTGGTGAGTTCCTCGTTTTGTAGGGTTTGGATCCTCTAATTTTCCTTCTGAGTGTTGGACCTTCACCAACCCACCTGCAAATTACCTAGACTTGCAAATCTGAGCCTGTAACTGGAGATTGCATCTGGAAACCAGTTCCATCTACAACATCTAGTTCAGTGAATTGCAGTTTTATCTGGCTACAAGCCTTCTGTACATTTGGGCTAGAGGTAGACCTGATGTACAAGCTCTTGCTCTGGCCCTTTGCAGAAACCAAAGTCAGATGTAAAATGCAGGTTTTAGTCTTCTAGGAAGACTAGGAAGTGGTTTCCAAATTTCAACTATGAGCTTGCTTGAAAGCCGACAGGACTGCTGGTTTTGTGACCAGGGCTGTAAGAAGGTGTGAAATGCCTGTGAGCCAGCAGCCAGGGTGTGGAATTCACTGGATGCAGTAGAGCTGTGTACAGTTTGGGGCTGGAAAGCTGTGGTGTGGATTGGGAGCTATCTCTAACTTCACCTCTGTCTGTCTTTCACCTCTTGATTTGACAAACAGAAGTCAGCAAGCAAACACTTAACATTTCAAAGGAAAGGCATTTGCTATTCCTCAGGCAAAGCTTTGGCTTTTAACAAGGGCAAATTTCCTGGGACATCAGCAGATCTGAAACAGTCAGAAAAGAAAGCTGCTCTGGACCCTCTCTGCTTCCTTTCACGTCCCTGTGCTGAAGCTGTTTTGTGTATTGACGTGCTATTTATTTGTGTCTTTTTGCAGGACCATTCCTAACATTTTGCCAGCTTCCTCTGCCAACTATTGTTCCCAATAGGAACGAAATGGTGGTACAGCTGTATTCCAATTTCACACTCAAATGCTCTGGAGACAGTGAAGTGAGCTGGCAGTACCCAGTGACCGAGGGAAACCACAGGATAGACATTAGACACGAAGAGAACAACAGTGGCCTCTTCGTGACAGTGCTGGAAGTGGGAAATGCCTCGGCCGCCCATACGGGCCTGTATGTTTGCTATTACAACCACACACAAGTGGAGGATGGGGAGGTGGAAGGCAAGGACATCTACATCTATGTGCCTGGTAAGTGGGGGTGCTACAGCTGTACCTGGAGCTTTGGGTGGGAGAGGTGAACCACATATGTTCACAAGAGGTGTGTTGCTGGTGGCAATTTACAGTCTGAGGAAGAGAAATAACTCCAGGGTTAAATCACATAAATCAAGACCAGCCCCTGTAAATCTATGGATATGTTCTTCTTTCTTTCTACTGGTTTTCATTTTTTGATAAGAGCTTGAGTTCTCAAGAAGAGTGATGAACTCACCACTTTAGAGCTGAGGTCTTCTGACCACCAAGGGGCTGGAAAGCAGACCTTGGTGGCCAGGTCAGCTCATCTGTGGGAGTATGTCCAGCCTTCAGGTTTGCCTGGCTCCCAGGTGGGGATTAACAGAAATTCCAGGCTTTTCAGGGGGTACTTGGGTGGATATCTTGGGATGTGTACTGACCAAATCAATGCTGTGTATGATACTAAAGCTGCTGCCTGATCAGGAAGGCCATATCCTGTTTGTAACCTGAATTAGGCTTTAATTGAGAGTTGGAAAAAGCTCATGTGTGGACAGGGAAGTGTAAAGCCTGGGAAGTGTAAAGCAATGGAGATGTCCTAGAGGTGACTGTCAGAGGGAGGGGAAAGAAGTGCTCTTGCTGGCCAGACTGACACAAGATTAAACACATGGTGCTACTGTGCAGTGCCCTGTAATTTTCAAGGCAAACACAGCCTTCCCAGGCCCTGTGTTGCATTTCTCTTTAGTGGTGGAAAACTGTTGGACCCAGAAGAAATGGCATCCCTTCTGTTTGGAAGTGCCTATTTCCAGCTTTGCCCTCCCACCCCCTTGTTCTGACTGGAAATCTGCTTAAAGGCTTTCCACAATCTCTATGGGATGAGAATCTTTATTGTCATAGCTGAGATAGGCACCAAAGGCTGAGCCACGACTGACTGCTTCTGTAAAGCCCTGTCTGGATGTTTCCTCAGCATTGGCTGGGCTTCAGGGGGTGAGGGTCACAACTGCAGGGCCAGAAGAGATCAAGCCACTGGATTTGCAGTAAACGTATTGAACAGGGAACAAAAGAGAGGAGAAGAGATTGCAAATCATCCTGCAAAACTGCAGCATGTTCTGAAGGAGTGATGTCTGCAATGGCAAGGAAGATTCTGGAAGGGCAAAAAGCCAGGAGGTAATAACAGGACTTGTTTTAAAGGCTATTTTGCAGTGGCATTAATTTTTGCTGTTGACAGTGTGTAATTCAAGGACTGGATTCTTCCAAGACTCTCTCCCCATTTTCCACAACAAATGTAAAGTGTTTGCATTTGTTCTTGAAGCAAGATGTTTCAGAAGAGCTGGATACTGCCAGATTTGGCACATATATCTCAATATCCAAGCAGTTTAACCAAATTACCAGAAGATGTTGTTTAGGTTAAGCAGTCTTGCAACTCACCCAGTGGAGGATTATAAAGGCAAGAGCTGGAAGATTTCTTCAAGAGGACTATTTGGTTTGTTTTTTGAAAGCCTCTAGACATCAGCCTACCAGATTTGCAGGGCAGAGACACCATGTAATTTTTTCCACTTGCTAACCATCAAGATGTTATAAATGCAGAAACATATCCTTTTCTCCAAATTATAGGGAATGTCTCCGTTTCCACTATAAACTTTGTCTTTACAATGGTTTTTCCTGCAATGAATTAGAAGGGCAATGGGTGGCAGCAACCCACTTTAGCCAGGGAGGATTACGTTGGGACTTCACACAATATCCTATTTTCACTAACAGCACATAGAAAATCAAACTAGGTGAATCTTGTTTCTGTTTTAAATTACAGTGGGAAAATGAATACATGGAGTTGGCAGCATTTTTGGGATGTAGCGCTGTGTTTGGAATATTGCTACAAAGAGCCTGCCAGTGCAGCAGAAAGTCTATTGTTGGAGGGATTTGGATTGCCGTTTATTAAATTTTTTTATAAAGCTTTGCACAGAAGCTTCAGGCTAGCAGGGATTATTTGTTTATTCTGAATGGTGAAATGGAGACGATTTGAGGGCTGTGCTTTTTATGCATAATGTTATGCAATTATGTTTTAAACTCAGACTTGGGATTGGATGGATAGGAAAGTTGGCATATATTTTGTTGACTTTAAAAGAAATAAAACTACCAGGTCCGTGTTTGCTTTTTTTCCTAGTTGAATACTGTATTTTGAAAACCACACGCTGTGACCATAATTAACTATGTCTCATAACTGTAATGTTGGACATGTTAGAAATACATGAAGATAAGTACCTTGAACTATTTTTGATGAAATGTGGCTTTAGTGGTGTTCAACATAAACAACATGAGACTGGCTTCTACTTTTTTTTTTTTAAATTTTTTTTCCCTTGGAAATGTTTGGATTTTTAATTTTATTTTATTTTTATTCTACCCCCTGCTTATATATTGGTTAGGAGACAGCTATTAATAAAAAAGGGGAAAAACATCTAACTTAAAGTCATGAGTGTTGTGAATAATAACACAACATTTTGGGGGGAGGATCTTTTGTCTTTTTCATTTTGCATCCTGAATTGCAACAAAGAAACCTGAGCCCTTTCCTGTTTTGTTCTTAGGAGAAATGTTTCACTACATGTCACATCAAGTAGCTAAAATGAGACACCACACGAAATTAGCAAACATTACCTGCAATATCTGAATCACTGGGAGAATGAACTGTGCAAGTTTCACTTATGACCCATAAGTGGTCATTGATATGCAATTCTTGTACATGGACTTGCTGCAGACAAGACAGTGTAAGATTCCCTCTTGTTTTTTACAGACCCAGACATGCCTTTTGTTCCATCCATACCAGAAGACCAGTTCATCCTGGTAGAAGAAGGTGATCCTGCAGTTATCCCTTGTCGGACAAGTGACCCAGAAGCTCAAGTGACTTTAGTTAACAGTTTAGACAAGTCTGTGCACGCTTTGTATGACACCAAACAAGGCTTCATAGGGAATTTCCCCGCGGGCTCATACACGTGCAAAACAATGGTTAAAGGTGTGGAGTTCAAGTCTGATGAGTTCCTCATCTATATTATAAGAGGTATTTATTTCTATTCATTTAACAAACAAAACAAACAGTGCTTGTGTTCTTTCTTCACACTGTAATAGCACCAGCATCTCTGGGTTATATCAGATATTTCTCCAACGATGAGCTCCTTGCTTCTCTGGCAGTACCGCCAGTTACTTAGTTGCAAGTTTACTTACAATTTTGAAGAGAAAAAGGTGTCCCTAACTTTATCTTCTCTCAAAATTATTGCAAGAAAAATGTTTTGTAGTCCATATATTTTCAATCTCTTTGCTGAAACACAAAAGCCTGGTGTTTCCCAGTGGCTTTGAACTGTAGAACTCTGGGTAGCCTGAAAAATATATTGATTTAATTATTTTGAAAATATTTTTCCTGGCCATCAAGGAATTCTCAAAGACAGTCACTGATTAGCAAAATGGGACATTGCTTTTATACCCAATGCCTTTTTACAGGGGGATTTGAGATAGGAACTTCTAATTGAAATTTTATTTGTGGGTAATTTCTTTGTGGGATTGAACTGTCTGTGCAGTTCATGCCTTAAGTACAAATTGTTTATATTAGTATGGATCAGCAGTACTTTTAATGAATTTTCAAGGTGATTCTTCAGTACAGGAAGTGAAATGAAACTCTTCCTCTGAAATTGCACCATGTAAAAATAGTAATCTTTTAAAAATTAAATGAGATCTCCCTCTCTCTTCTCTTAGCTACTTCACAGCTGCCTGTTGAAATTGAAGCTCTCAAAACTGTCTACAAAACAGGCGAGACCATCGTAGTAACTTGTGTGGTCTTTGACAATGAGGTGGTTAATTTACAGTGGAATTATCCAGACTGGCTTCTAAATATCTCTTTTTTTTCTTTTCTTTTTTTTTTTTTTCCCCCACAATGTTTGTAGTTACTTATTAGGCAAGTGAGTGAGGTTGTAAAATATTGTTCTCTTATCTGAATGAGGACTGCTGAGGAGAGAAAATCAAGTAAGTTCTTTTAATTTTAGGTTACCATAAAAGAAAGTCAGTCCCAAAAGGTAAATTTGCTGTTAGTAACTAAGCAAAGCATGAGAAGAAGGTGAGGCATGGCTGAGGAAGTAATGCTGTCTCTCAGGTCTTGTGCTGCTGCAAAAAGAGAAATATTGTGAAAACTGAAAGATCTAGGTATGTTTGGCATCTGAGTAGAGCTCTGCTGCTGAAGGTCTGAATCTCTAAAATAGCTCTTTTAAATCCTGGTTCTTGGGGGTAATAAAGGACAATGAAGAATCAAGTCTATAATCTTAAGTGTTCTTCATTATGCAGATGTAAACTGAAATGATTCTTACAGTCACTGAATTTACTATTGAGAAACATCTAGTAAGAAAATCATGTAGAATCCTGAAATTTTTAAAACTTGTTTAACATCCTTTTGCAGTGAAAACTTTTATTCACTGGAACTTAGTTAGAGCCAGTCCTGGGCAATTTCAAAGTATCCCATGTAAATAGTCTGGTTGCTGAAGGAATGATGTAATTGAAGTGCACCTAGTTGTTGCTCCAAATCTCCTTTTATTTAAGTTAAGAACCCAAGAGGAAAAATTATTTGAGCAGGTTTTGTCTCATTTTCCATCTTACACATCAATGTAGTTTCTGCTATATGGCACTTTTCAAAACTAGCCCCAGCATATTTTTGTACCAGCCCCTCATGATAACATGGTGTGTCATTTTCACCATCCCTTTACTCTCAGGAGTTTTCTCCTTGTCAATAAATTATTCTTGTTTTGAGAGTAGGCAGAACATATCTCTGGTAAAGGGAATAAAAATTCATCTTACTTCATGGGCATTGAACAAAGGGGACTTAAGTGGCTTTTACATCTGAAAAAAAGGTAGTGCCTAAAGAGTAAATTTGTCTGTCAAGTTGCCTACCCAAATTTTCAAAGGTATTTTGTTTTTTGTGAACAAAATATGAGCTCTCAACCTCCTGTGCCTACCCCCAAAAGGGTGTATTTTTATAGGCACAGCTTTTCTGTTGTGGCTGAAAAAGGCATCCTTCTCTGAGTAAACAGGTCTTCTGCCATACAGAATTTAGATGCTTGCTCTCACTTCAGGAGTATCAAAGATCCTCAGTGATGTGCTTTCAACTCAGTTACTTAAGCAAGGTTTTTTTCCTTCTCCAAACTACAGAAAGAAAAAGGTCTGATAAAACTTGATGATATCAAGGTGCCATCACAGAAGCTGGTTTACACCTTGACCATTCCTGAGGCATCAGTGAAAGACACAGGGGATTATGAATGCACTGCTCGGCATGCAACCAAGGAGGTTAAGGAAAATAAGAAAGTAGCTATTACAGTTCATGGTATGATCTGATTTTAGTGTCATTGGAAAATACCATTCTTGAAAAATGTTGCATAATGTTGTTTACACAAGGCTTTTTCATTTACAGACAAAGGCTTTGTTCACCTGGAGCCTCAGTTCAGCCCTCTGGAAGCTGTCAACCTGCATGAAGTAAAAAACTTTGTTGTTGATGTGCAGGCTTACCCAGCCCCAAAAATGTATTGGTTGAAGGATAACGTGACTCTGATTGAAAATCTTACAGAGATTGTTACTACTTCAGGAAGAGTCCAGGAAACGAGGTAAAAAACCTCTGATCCTTTGCCTTGCTGACTTGAGTTCCTCCTCCAGGAAACTGGGCACTATTCCTGCTTGTTTTTTACACCTCAGTTTGCTACTTGTTCTGCAGTGGCATTTAAACATAGTTCATTTGTTTTCTGTTCTAAAGGGCAATGCCTAATTTTCTTCTTACTACCTTCATAACATCAACCTCTTCAAGGTTCCTGAGCAAGAAATCTCTTTGCTCCCTATTACATGTCTCCACACAAATAACTTCTGGCTATTTCCAGTAAAATCAGGGCTTTGTCAGGTTCCTGCAGAAAGTAACTAAGGTCACTTCTTTCTCATTTGTATGTTGATAGTTATTTACCACTTGAGTAATGACTTAGTTAAAGACATGCTAGAAATGTTAAATGTCACTATGTTATAATCACAACATACCCAGATTATGTGTTGCCCAAAATGATTTTTTTATGCCTGCTTGAAAAATACAAACACAAACTTGCATTTCTGCAGGTTTCAGAGCATTTTAAAATTGATACGGGCCAAGGAGGAAGACAGTGGATACTATACTTTGGTTGCTGAAAATGAGGATGAGATTAAAAGATACACCTTCTCATTGCTCATACAAGGTAAGCAGCCCCAAAGCCTTGCCCACCAGAACTCATGGCACACAGCAAAGACTTGTTTCACTTACACACTGCATTGTCTGGAGTATGGACACACGAAAGGCACGAACCAGGCTGAGCAGAGGAGTGCGTGCTAGTCTCTGGAACTTTTCTAGCCTGATCCTGGCTTTCACTTCTGCACTGGCATTGAGCCAAATAGAAACTTTATCCGCCCAGCTAAGTTATTCCAGCTGACAGTAGGATGATAGCTCATTTAACATGACATGAAGACGTGGCACAACTGCAGCACTTCCTTCTCATTGCTCTAGCCTAGAATCCACTCTGTGCTACAGGAGATCAGCACTTCCTGGTTGAGTCTGTGTCTGTAGCTCTTGCTAAGGTGTTGGCCAAACAACACCTGTCCTGCTTTGAAATTTGAAGCTGTTTTTTTTTTGTAAGCACTGACAAATATTTTAACAAACTCCTGACTCCTTCCCAGTTCCAGCTCTGATCTCAGCCCTCGTGGATGATCACCATGGCTCTGCAGGTGGGCAGACAGTGAGATGCTTGGCAGAGGGGACCCCACTTCCTGATGTGGAATGGCTGGTTTGCAAGGACATTAAAAAGTAAGAGGAGTTGGTGTTCTCTTACCTGAAATATGACCTGTATCCACAATTATCTTAACATAATTAATTACTGTACTATGTTTGCCTCTTCAAGAGCCAGTAAGTTTCAGATAGTTCTTATTTCTTTTTAGAGGCATGTTGTTTATATTTCAAGAGAGGTTGTCAGTGCCCTTCTTTTTACATCCTGTAGGACACAAAACAGTGCATCAATTCAGCTTTCTCTCATAAAAGCTTTCTGTTCAGTAAGCCAACTCCCAGGGTTTCATAGTCCTTGAGTCCTTCACAGGCTTGAGTAAGGATTTTGAGAAGCAGCTGTCTTTCCATTCAGGGAGTATTTTTTATTTGAAGGAAGAAAGGTGCAGGTTTTTCAGAGATGCAATCTAAAGACCCTTCTGGCCCTTAGATGTGTTGTTGTCAGAAGAAATTTGAGGGAAAGGTAATTCTTGTTCTGTTCACTCTTATTTATCCATGTGTACATCCAACACCCATTTCCCCCATTATTCTTTTCTGCAGGTGCAACAATGACACCTCATGGACCCTTTTGACTAACAACATCTCTGATATACACATGGAAGCCCACCTGGATGAGAAAAATATGGTGGAAAGCCAGGTGACTTTCCAGAAGGTAGAGGAAACCCTGGCTGTGCGATGTGTGGCAAGGAACGACCTCGGTGCCGTTACTCGAGAACTGAAGCTTGTGGCTCCCAGTGAGTTTGCTTTGTCCTTCTGTGCAATTAAAACAGCCAGTTTGATCCTGCTCTGACTCACCCCAGTTCAGTCCTAATGGATAAAAATATGAATTGTTGTAGATAATAAGTTAGGGTGGATTTTTTTTTCACCCCAGTATTTTTGAGGAGGGGGCCTTTTGCAGGCCTTTATGGTGCATCTGCTTTTTCTTATTATGTGGTTCCATAATTCATTTAATAATTGTATTAGTATTGGCTATGGGACATTCTTCTAGACAATATGCATTTGGTTTTGAAACACAATGGCAGAGCAGCCCTGGGCTTGGAAAGGCTTTATAGTCACCAGCCTCAGGAACTGCTGCTGCGACTTCTGCAGGATACGGGAACTGCAGTGATAGGGGAGATGGGTGCCTTATGTGTGTGATGTCCCTCATGTTCCTGTTCATGGCTCATGAAGAAAATATGGTCTATCTTTTTACTCCACAGCCTTGAGATCAGAGCTAACTGTAGCTGCTGCTGTCTTAGTGCTGTTAGTGATTGTGATAATTTCACTTATTGTCCTGGTCATCATATGGAAACAGGTATGTAGAAAAGTATTTTGGTTTGGGTGCTGAGCCTTGCTGGGTTTTGGTCTGCTTTAAAGTCAGGTCCAGGACTAATGCTTGGTTTGCATTCAATGTGCTCTGCAGAAGCCCAGGTATGAGATTAGATGGAGAGTCATCGAGTCTATCAGCCCTGATGGCCACGAGTACATTTATGTGGACCCAATGCAGCTGCCTTATGACTCCAGATGGGAGTTTCCTCGAGATGGGTTAGTGCTTGGTAAGTTTTGTGTAAGGGACTAGCCCCACCCTTCTTTTGGGAGAAAGACATTCAATAACCATTCAGAGGCCTCTGCAGGATTTGCAGTGGAAGTTAAGGTCACAAAGTCCAGAGTCTCTGTCTGTTCTCATGAGTTCTCTTCCTGATCCTCTTCTACAGTGGCATCAGCCCTGAGGTCCTGGTGTTAGTGTCTCCTGTGCCTGCATTCCTGTTCTGCTCCTGTGTGCAGTGTCCCCCGCTACGTGGCTTAGGGGAGTCTCTCAGTGTTAAACACCCTTTTCAACCTGCATTTCTGCTAAGGCATCCACAAGAAGGACATAATTATTTTTTGTTTGCAAGACATTTATATACTTATGTGCAGAGACCAAGAAAATCTGCAACTAGTTATGCAGTTTTATTAAAAATATTTTTAAAATTATTAATCCATGCCGTGCACATATCAGTGCTGAGTAACAGCATATTTTTGTGGCTACTGTCCTTCTTTCTTCTTCCTTCCCCTTCTGCTTTCTTGCTTTGCTATTCCTCAGTCATAATTATTTCCTCAAGGCTGGCCCAACCTCTCATTTATATAAATTGAAAGTGTAATGATTATAGAAGATTTTAATGCTCTATCAAGATAGTGCTTTAAACATACAAGGCTTCCCTCTCGTGGAGATATCTGTGAATCAAATTGTATTGCAAAACACAGGAGAAGAAGATGAAATGTGTCTTTTGTTTGATGTATTTCAAGAAACATACTCCCCTGGTGTAGTTCTTCACCATCACAGAGAAAGAGTTAATTCTTGAAAGAAGCAAGAGAAAAATTTCCAGTTCAGGAACAATATCCTTTAATTAAATTCATGTTGCTAATTGAAGACTAGAAGAGGGTGAATGTTTTATGGAATTATTTTATTACAACCCAGACTTTAATTATATGCCTAAATAGGATTTGTCAGATCTGAGTTGTTAAAGACCACCACTGTGACTTTGGTGCTCATGAGTCAGAGGGAGACAGCCTGCTTCAATGCCTTCTTGTTTACAAGTGTATTCAGAATAGTCAGTAACTTTCAATCCTAGTGCTCCATATCCTTCTGTCAATCTGGGTTGCACAACTGCTCTTGACACACTCACCTGCCAGCACTTTTGCCGTGTTAAATGCTTGCTGGTGAGGGGGGACCCTCTTTTGTTTCTGGGGCTGACAATTCTGATTTGTGTGGATTTTCTCTTATCTAAGTGGGAGATGACAGCAAAGCAATTACACCTTTAGTTCAGGGAGGCTCTGAAGCAGGTTACAAACCCATTGTGGCTCTGCCAGATGAGTATTTCCCATCCTGTGTAAGCCAGCTGGCATTTATTTGTTTTTTCTAGCCAGTAGTGCCTGGAGTGCAGTGCTGTGTTAAATGCCAACTCTGAACATTGGCTGGATGGAGCTTCAATTGACAAATTTGGGTTACACTGCAAATTTCCATTTGCAATCACTGATCCACAGTATGTGCAGTGCACTGCTCTTTAAAGGGCTCCTGAACCAGTGCAAGTCCTGGCGATGCGTATCAGAAGGAACAATGCAGTAATGCCATGAGCTGTTTGAACACCACTCCTGGCTCTGCTGAGAACTAACGTCCAGCAGGACCTGGACCTCCTCATCTGGCTGACAGAGCTGAGAGCAGTGACTTTTGAGGCATGGGGTCTGAGTGCTGCTGCTCTGGATACCAGGGTGGCTGTACAGAGACAGCAGAATTGCTCTCATCACTTCCCAGCAAGCCACTTATATGTCCTGGTGACCTTAATAAAATGAAATGCTGGTCTGAGATAGAATCTGACCCATGCCTATTTGAAAAAGGCTAGTTAAGATTCAGGTCACAGAACAGTCAGAGATGTGGTATCTAATTTCATGAGTCTAGAAACTGGGTGTAGATTATAAAGCTTGACACTTGTTTGGCTTTTAATATAGTCCAAGAGACTTATGGTTTCATTTGGGGTGGGTTGATTATCCCAGGCCAATTTTAGAAAAAGAAACATCCAGCTGAGATGGTGGCATCTGGAACAAATTCACACACCCAACCCTTGTATCCTCTTAGCAGAAAAGCAGCACCTCTCTGGCAGGCACAGCAGATGAGCTCTGTGGATGGGTACAGAGGCTGAATTAGCTGCTGTCTGTCCACTAGTCTGAGGAATCTTGAGCTGCTGCTGTGTCTGCACAGTCCCTCTGTGGTAGTGAAGCAGCACTGCTCCTCAGTGAGCAGATCACAGCAGTGCCTTTATACTGAAAAATAAACATGCACTGTAATTTTGAGCTTCAGTGAAACACTCATCAAGAATATGATGGCATTACAGATGCTTTCAGTTCTTGGGCAGTTAGCTCCCACCTGGCTCCAAATTTCAAACGCAAAAGACGTGGGGCTTGGGCTACATCTGCAGAGAGAGTTGAAAAGGGGAAATAGCAGTGGTGGCTCCCTGCCATTCCGGAACTGCTCTCACTGTCTCCACATGCACCCCAGCCCAGCAGAGGTGATGGAGAGGGAGATGTGTGCCTCGTGCTCAGCTGACAATATGGTTTTGGGGAGGAATTGGCTTGTGAAGACAAGAAGATCAAGGAGCATCAGCAAATGCCATCACATTCTGAAGGGCTGCATCCTGCCATATGGCTCCCAGACCTTCAGCCTGAAAAGTTTCAGGGGCCAAATTTCAAACTCAGGTTGTTTGAATTAGTCTAAAATTTAGTGTGAAGCTTTCTCACATCCTGATTGGGAAGGATAACCTTTGGAGCACGGGAATCTTGAAAAGAAATCACATGGCTTCTGTGTGCATGACAAACGATGCTGTCATAATCTTGGAGAGGTTCGCCAGTGTTAGCTAAGCATTCTTTAACCATTTCTTGTGCTTGTTAATGATGTAGATATTGTTTGGTTGGAAATTTTCTTTCAAAAGCATGTGTAAAATAAAAGTGGGGGCAGTAGCTAGAGGATAACAGAAACATATGGCATTGCATGCCAGATAACACCTTCAGAAGTGTAAAAGGTGACAAGTTCAAACTGCAAACGAATGTCAAAGACAAAATGCTGTGTATCTCCATAGTAAAAGTTACTACTTATTCTTTCTGTGCTTCAAGTTAAAAAGTAACATAAAACCACAGCAACAGCTTGTCAGGCATGTGATTTTATTCAGGCATCTGGACCTTATATACAAGTTTGTTCCCTAAGTGTTCCCTTGATGAACTTGATTTTCAATGCAGAAACTATGAAATTTAGCATTTTGGAGTATATTTATGCAGTTCATATTTTTCTAAAATCTCATTCAATCTGTACAAAATTCTTCTGGAGACTGTATCTATATTAGAAGACAGGATATATAAATCCCAAATTTTTGTCTAAATTGATTTGTGGAAAGAGTAAAGGGTTTATAAACATTAGCTGTTTCATTACAGCACTTGGAAATTTGCAATACAATTTATTCCAGCAGATGAAACACACTTGTACATTAGGCTTCAGAGAAATTTCCCCTCATATGTGATCAACATGTATCTCAGCTTCTTGCAGATCTGAAATGGTTCTGCCTGTCTGTTTCTGAATGTGCTGTTGATGTGCTTTAGTCCATTTTACTGCTGGATGTATTCAGCATTATATAAAAGACCAAAACTACAACTGAGGGACACAATTAAGATTTGAAAGTCAGGAGGACACCTGTATTTTAATCAGGTGTTGACTGAGGCAAAGAGGTCAGCTTAAGCCTAGGACAATCCATGATGTGAGAAGATAAAATGAAGATGGCAGAGCACAGGAAGGGATGAATTTGAATGAGCTGAGCTTCCAGGTGCTTCTATCATTAAGATAGAAGTGCTTTTACTTTTTCTGCCTGCAAACAATAGCAATAATACTGGTGGTCTGGCTAAGAGAATGTGCCCTTTCCATACAAGAATCAACTTGTAGAGGAATGGAGGTAGGAAAGGAGCTGAATTGCTGTTACTTTCTGAAATAAACAATGCTCTCCCTTGTGTTCAGGTCGGATCCTTGGTTCGGGTGCCTTTGGAAAAGTAGTTGAAGGAACTGCATATGGATTGAGTCGCTCTCAACCGGTGATGAAAGTAGCTGTGAAAATGCTGAAACGTAAGTTGCCATGGTTCCACTTCCCAAGCCAGGTAGAGCAGGTTCTGTTGTTTAGACAGAGACCCCTTGTGTGAGAGCACGAGGTTTGACTCCATTTTCATCAGAAGGCTGATTTATTATGTTATATATTATATTAAAATGCTACATTAAAACTATACTAAAAAGAACAGAGCAAAGAAGACCAGAAGGCTACAAAGACAAGAATAAAAATGGAATGACTAACAAAAATCCTGTGACTGCTCACAGCCTTGGGACAGGGGGCTGTGATTGGTCACTAATTGAAAACAATCCACATGGACCAATGAAAGATGCACCGGCGGCCTTCCACACCAGAAGATAGTGTTTACATTTCTTTCCTGAGGCTCTCAGCTCCTCAGGACAGGAAAAATCCCAGCAGAGGACTTTTCACTAAAATATCATAGCTACAAGGTTCATACAGGATTATTCAAATGTTGCTTGTTATAAATTAATTCTTTGTATCTGACGTTGAAAATGAATGGTTAAATGAGCAGCTTTTAAAATTATGTTAGATTGCTTGATGGCATTTCAAGCCTGAAGGTACCCAGGCTTTTGAAAACATCCAAAGTTTAGGTTTAGCTGAACAGCTACAATAACTCAGCAAATACTGAGAAAGTAACCATGAATGCCTGTGAACAAATGTGGGCTGTACAACAAGGGGAAAGAGGCAGGTCTTGTATAAGCTCACTAAAGATTTCCTGCTTCCTGAGAACTGAGGCAAGCAATGAGGCAAGCAAGGAGAAATTTTTTGTTAATGTGAAAAAGGCGACTGTTCCCACCAGGTGGCTAATGTGCTTTTTCTACAGCTACAGCTAGATCCAGTGAAAAACAGGCACTCATGTCTGAACTGAAGATAATGACACATCTTGGCCCTCACCTGAATATTGTGAATCTGCTTGGAGCTTGTACAAAATCAGGTGAGTTTGGCTAACAAAATAAAGGTTGGCTGTGGGATCATAATTCAGTATTTAACAAGCACATTGGTGCCTAAAGATTTTTAGCTGTTTACATAATCTTCATGTATTTGTAGCTTTGTAGACTGTTAAATGCCTAGGAGTAACTTCTAGTACTTTTCCAGCTTTCTTTCCCACAATGAACAAATGTTTATTGATGTATTCCTTAAATTTTATCTAGTCTTGCCTGTTAGTTTACTGAGGACCTTTTATTTTGTACCATGTAATCATAGAAACAATAAAGATAGGGTATGAGATTGGGGGGAGAGCTCCAATGGGGCAGAACCCAGAGTGGAGGTTACCTAACCAACTGCTCCTCAAATTGGGCAATATTGGCTAGTTATTCTGATTGCCCTACTTTATAAAACTGTACAAATTTAATTTGGAACACTTTTTTTTTTTCCATACTGTGTATCTGAAGGCTTTTATATTATAATTCTGATGTTGTTTGGAAAAGTTTGTGTTCTATTTCCAGGCATTGACACAGGTTTCAAGTAGAGGACTTACCAGTAAATATAACAAACATAGGTTTTCAGAAGACTTCCTGATATTTGGTGATAATTGCAGTCATAACTTAGTTGATAGAAATGCATTAACTCACAACTCTATTTTCTACTACTTTTGGAATCTTTTTGTATTTGTTTCTATCTTTCAAAAATCTCACTATCTTTCAAAAATCTCACAATGCATAATTTTGCTTTATTTTAACAGGTCCTATTTACATCATTACTGAATACTGTTTTTATGGTGATTTGGTGAACTACCTGCATAAGAACAGGGACAATTTCCTGAACCGACACCCTGAAAAGCCTAAAAAGGATTTGGATATCTTTGGGATGAACCCCGCTGATGAAAGCACAAGAAGGTGGGAAAAAAAAGAAAAAAATAAATCAGTGGCCTGTGACTTAAGGACATTATAAACCCTTATTGCATTACTCTCATTCATTGACTTAAACTCCTCCCTCATTTTTCTCGTTAGACTTTTATTGGTCACGTCTCATAGGTCTGGGAAGTATTCAACAGTTTTTATTCAATCTCCCTGACATGTGTCCTAGATTTGTGTTTCCTGCATGTAGACATGCCTGCAGTCTGAGGATCCCTATGGTTTCTCCATAGATACATCTGCCTGTGTCCTTGTTTCAATGCTTGGGGAATTTCCAGTGTCTAAAACTCCTTCCCTTCAAACAACCTGGCAGAGCTTGTTCTCCAAGCTCAAGTTCTCTCCTTTATCTACCAATGGCTTAGCCAGTCTCAATAGTGTCCTAATTGTTTATGTTCATCCCAGAACTTTTTCCAGATGATGGTTGAGGAAGGTTGTCATTATATATTCAGCAATAATATAATGCCATAAAATGAGCCAGAATTTAAAAGGTGAACAGAGGTTCATTCAAGAAACCACTCAGAGAAAGAGATCAACTGTCTTGGTAGCTGAGTAAAGCCAGTACTATTCATCTGGGAATGGACTGGATTCAGCAGGACTGGATTTGATGCAAACTGTCTGGGTGAATAACTTATACCTTTCATTTGGAAAACCCTGAGCTAAAAGCCCTAGGTAGTGATATTTGAGTTCAGTGGGATTTTGGGAAATAAGGCATGGTTACATACCTGACTGTTGGCAAAAGCCTAAGTTTGAAATGCTTGAGTACAGTAATGCACAGTAACATGTATTAATAAGTGATGGTTATGTTATACATTTGATATATGGTAATGATCTTTTTATATATATATTTCCTAACAAGAAGCCAGCTGTTGAATTTCACATCAATACATTGGTACACCTTAAGTGAATGGTTAGATTTGCACATGCTCTGACAGGGAAGCCACTACCTGATACACATAATTTTCTTCCAATTCCAGTTATGTGATACTGTCATTTGAAAACACTGGAGAATACATGGACATGAAACAAGCTGATACCACTCAGTATGTGCCAATGCTGGAAAGGAAGGAGGGCTCTAAATACTCTGATATTCAGAGATCTGTGTATGATCGGCCTGCTTCATACAAGAAGAAATCCATGTCAGGTAATGTAGAACTGTCCCTTCTGCATATATCATTAATACAAATTACTCTTGTTTAAATATGTATCTGATTTTTGTCCTCTAAATGCACATAAATTGTTTAGCTCTGTTCAGCAAGAGTGTGAGCATAAGCTGTAAGCTAAAAACTTGTGCTTGTGTTCTTCCATTCTGCTATGGGGGGTAGGAGAGCATGTTGCTGGAGCAGAAGGGGTCCCGTTGTGTGTCTGTTTCTGTGCTGAAGCACTGGGTAGTTGTGCAGTGCCATGGGGCTGTAGGCACTCTTTGGAGGCAGTGATTTTATCAGTCTTGTAGTTTGAAGGATTTTGAGCAATAGCAATGACCAATAATAATAGTAGTTTATATTGTACTGTTTCCACTTACATTTCACATTAACTGACACTTACCAAATGCAGAACACTCCCAAATACTTTCCTGGATTATGTAATGAAGATAATGAATGCATCCTATTCCCTGTCCCTGTTCTCAGAAACCAAATATGCTTTTGTTTAAAAGCAGACACTGTCACTTCTGCCTCCGGGCCTCAGAAACAGAACTATATCCAGTCCCAGATTTACATGACAAACTTATGTACTCATGTTCTAGGACAGTCAGGGAAAATGAATCACTGAATTTTGACTGTGTTTTTTCCGGCATTTTTCATAAAATAAATAAGAACTGTTGCCATGAATTCCTGACCCTTTTTGCTGGTATTGGATTAGTCCCAGTGAATACTTCCTGGGAAACAAGAGTGTTCCGCAAAAGTAAACTGATAAGAATGTACATGTATGCACAAAACACTAATGAAGGCATCACCTCTAAATAAATATTTTTGTACCACACAGTGAGTAAACCACCTGCGTGACAGTCCAGTAATGTCCAGTAACACTCCTTTCTCACTTTACTTTTTCCTACCATTCCCAGGGGGAGCAATTACAGACAGGAGAAAACTCAAACCCGTTGTTTAATACTGGCTGTATTTAAAAATGCAGTATGTGTCAGTTACTGATGCAGACATTAAAAGTGGTAATAGTTACTATGAAAAGACTGTTTTGGTCATGGAACTCTCAGGATAATGATATATAGGGGAAGATCGATGCAATTTTCACACTCCACAGCAAAACTGTACTTTTCTTCTTTTTTCAATAGAATCCGAAGTCAAAAACCTTCTTTCAGATGACAGTTCAGAGGGCCTCAGCCTACTGGATTTGCTGAGCTTCACCTACCAGGTTGCACGAGGAATGGAATTCTTGGCTTCTAAAAATGTAAGTAAATAAAAAAGTAAGCAAAATGGAATAAGGTGTAAAAATGTCTTCTGCAGCTATGGTTTTAAATTTAGATTTGAGCATGCGACACAATATAGTATTATTTTTGGAGATATAGACAGCTTTCTCACTTACCTGGAAACTGAGATCACCATGATGGGAAAAAATCAAAGCAGCAGTCACTTGTCTTCCCCTGCTTCATCCTTTGATATTGCTGGAGTCAGGGTTCTGGAGAGGGTAGAGCATCAAAGCAGGGTCTGGGTGAACAGTCCATGCAGTCACAAACCAGCGTGGTCAGAAGCACAGGCATATCGTTAGTACATGAGGGGTAGAATGGGAAAGGGTGACCTGACTTTTCCCTCCTCCCCCTAAAATGCATCCATGGTCCTGAGACCTGGTGCCTCCGTGCCCCTGCTAGCAGGTGCTTCCTTGTTCAGTAACAGGTCTTGTTAGGACTGTACCTAGGAAGCCAACCCTTTGTAAGGGCAGTGGCTCTCATGGAAAAAGCATGTCCTTGAACAACTTCATTTTTCTCCATACAGTGTGTGCACCGTGACTTGGCTGCTCGTAATGTCCTCCTGGCTCAAGGAAAAATTGTGAAGATCTGTGACTTTGGGCTGGCTAGAGACATCATGCATGATTCCAACTATGTCTCCAAGGGCAGTGTATGTACTTAATCTCTGTAGCTCTGCTTTAACTGAAATGAAAATAGTCAATTTTAAATGCTATTTCATGCTCTTGCCATTCAGTGTTGGTTACAGTAATTGACCATTGGGATGAATGCGCCTCAGAACAATTTATCTTCAGATCATTAATTCCTGTAACTTTTCTAACTCTGTTTTAAAGTGAAAAAGTACACATTCAGTACTTCGCAGTCTGACATTTTTAACTGGCAGGTTTTGTGACTGGATAAATTATTAAGGAACTGTCAAACAATGACATATCAGACCTAGTTCAGCAGTGCCAGATTTTGCATCATACCTTCAATCATTTACTGCCTGGTCATCTGCCAGTAATGAAATGAACATAGCTATGGTTTAACTAGTTTTTGTGGGGAGAAACAAGTAGCATTGCTTATAATCCTGGTACCTCTGTATTAAATTGAATTAAAAATAAACACTAGCAAGGTTAACATAACTTTTCTTACAGAGAGATGTTATTCCTGGCTATCAAACAAGAATTGCAATAGTAATAATTTATTTAATGACTAATCTGTGTGTTTGGGCTTTCTTTCTTTTTATTACAGACTTTCCTCCCAGTAAAATGGATGGCACCTGAAAGTATTTTTGACAATCTGTACACAACATTAAGCGATGTCTGGTCTTATGGCATTCTGCTGTGGGAAATATTTTCTCTTGGTATGTACTGTGAATATTTTCCTATGTGTAGTGGTTAAGTTTTTTCAATTCAAACTGTTCTACATTAAGTATTTCAAATTTTACATATAAAAATATGTGCACGAAGTCCACTGTTACTGTTAGTTGTTCTTCTGTATGGAACTTAAGATTCTAGTGTTAGGTGTGAAGTGAAATGTCCATACTCTCCCAAATTCCTCTTTAGTTTTGGTACGGATTTTTTTGTTCGTTTGTTTAAGGCTTTTGCTTTTTTAAAATTTTTTTTTTGTTTTGTTTGTTTTTGCAATATATTTTTTTTTCCTGTAAAACTAAAAGAACCATGTGAAAATCTTTTGTAGAAAAGTATTGATGTGCCACAACAGGATTGATTTTCTGTCTAATATGAGAAGGGCCATGTTTCTCCCTTGCAATGGGGTGCCTGGGGCTGCAGCCCAGCTCCGCAGCTGCTTTGGAACAGTTTCTTCATACACGTTTCAAAAGAGCCTGTCTTAGTCCCATTACAGAATGAAAATAAATGTCAATCTTCTGGGACACAGATTTCTCATTTCCAGGTCAACACTGCTCCCGCAGTTGGTTTATGGCAGCGTAAAGCGGTTATGACAATATATAGCAGTTTCAGACAATGTACAGCTCCCAGCTGGGAGCAGCCTGGCTCTCTCCTCAGCCTCATTAATTAGCCTCCTGGACGGGTGGATGGCCCGCTTCAGTGAGCCTGCATTGCCCACATTTACTGCCAGCAGAATTACTCATGCCTGTGTGGTGTCTACTGCTGCCCCACGGCAGCCCCAGGCCTAATGGTATTTGCTAGAATAAGTTGTCACATAACTGCTTCTCAGAAAACAACAGTTGCACCACTATTTATGGTATTGATTCCTGTAATCTCTGGGCATCACAGGCTCCTGTAAAGAGCCATTCCCCGATATCCCTAGGAGGCATTGGGCATCTCAGGAACTGAAGCACTACACTTCACTGCTCTACCTGCAAAGAAGGTTCTGAAGCTCAATTTTAGGTGAAAATCCTGCTTTTGAAAGGGCAGAGGTTTCTGAAGTAATATTATAGTATGCCTCCTCCATCTGAGAAAATTGTTCTTTTTTGGAAAGCAAAACATATCCTCAACAGCATTTGCTAAAAAGGTCAATTATAACATCTTGCTACCATGTTGACTTCAGCTTGAATTACTCTTTTACACATCAGCAACAACTGAGCATGAGTGCAATGATGTCTCTGTGCTGCAGCCCCAAATATCAGTTAAGTGTGTTAGCTTGGGCCATGTACAAACTTTTTGACAACCCATGTCAAATGCAGGCTGATGACCTGATCCAGGTTTCATCTAATCTCTGTCCCCAATACATTCTATAAACACTGCAAAGGTATTTTTTTCTAACTAGTACCTACTTCAAACTTTCCTAACCAGCGTTTCACATTAGGGCTTAATGTCATCAAGACAATAGTTCTGATGTGAAACACTGGCTAGGAAAGAATAATTCTGATGTCATGTTAAATTATAGTGTTAACACTTCATGACATCAACAAGAAGACAGTATTTGGGAACTCTGCATGGATAGTTAAGTACAGAGTAGTACTTTTGCTTCTCTTTTATCTGCAGGTGGCACACCATACCCTGGCATGATGGTTGATTCTACTTTCTACAATAAGATCAAGAGTGGATACCGAATGGCCAAACCCGATCATGCCACCAATGAAGTGTATGTGCATTTGGCTTCTCCACACCTGCCCAGATTCCAGAGAATTTTGGCTTTAAATTCTGTTTGATCAGTTATGTTCCTTTACCAGGTGTTTAAATTGATTCCCTTCTTATCTGCAGGTATGAGATTATGGTGAAGTGCTGGAACAGTGAACCAGAGAAAAGACCTTCTTTTTACCATTTGAGTGAAATTGTGGAGAGCTTGTTGCCTGGGGAGTACAAAAAGGTTTGCTCTTTGTAATTTTCTCTGTGTTTTCTGCATACTGCTTCAGAGGGAATTATAAGCATTGTTCCAGCCATTAGAGCCATGAGCACTGAACTGGCACATTCTAATCTGTGTGAATTATGTGATTAGCACTGGGACATTGCATGTTTGGTTTCTTCAGTCAAACTTGCTGAGAGAAGCAGTTCTGCAGTATTAACTGGGAAGCAGAACCCTTTATGTCTAATTAAATCCTAACAACTCAATTTTTCTACTGGAGAACTAATTCTATATATTTTCATGGGATTTTGTAGGCTGTGAAATAATTATATAAAAGGGACTTCTTGGCCCATGTGTATAATCTCCCTGTCTCCTTCTTTGAATCTTGACACCAGCAAGTTTTCCCCTCACACTTCTGATAGCTCTTGACTTGTCTGCTTTGTGCTGCCACAAAGCTTTGCTCCTGCATCATCTAAAACTTACATGTCACTTCTCCCTTCAAAGCAATTGAAGATTCTGGACTTCTCTATCCAGTATTGCTGGCTCATAGGGCAGAATATTTGCTAGGCTAATGAATCACAGCTGCCCATCTGAAGAAAAGCAACCTTAGTGAGCAGCATCTAATGAGGGCATTAAAATGATTTTTTTCAGAGCTATGAGAAGATTCATCTGGACTTCCTGAAAAGTGATCACCCAGCTGTCACACGCATGAGAGGGGACTGTGACAATGCTTACATTGGTGTAACTTACAAGAATGAAGACAAGCTAAAGGACCGGGAGAGTGGATTTGATGAGCAGAGGCTGAGTGCTGACAGTGGATACATCATTCCCCTGCCTGACATTGACCCTGTTTCTGAAGATGAGCTTGGCAAAAGAAACAGACACAGGTAGGTGCAGTTTACAGGTCCCTTAGCCCATGGTCACCATTTGGGGTCATGTTTGACAATGTCCATTACACTTTCCAGCATCATACTCTGCAAATGGTTTCCTTAGCTCTGTTGAAACTACTTATTGGGAGAGTCACATATAAATATGGTAGCACGACTCCCCACAGTGTTTTCAATGGGAAAAAGTTTTTTGCCTGTTTTGTGGTTGCCAGGGCAAGGCAACTGCTGGTAGGGTGCTTCTGTGTGTTTTTGGGACTCCTTTAATATCTTGTCAGAGTAGTTGTCTTGTGGATCTGTGGGCACATTTTGCAACATACCTTTCCTCCTTCATACAAGATCTCAAAGGATTGGTTTGTTTGTATGAGACAAATTCTAAAATCCGGGAGAAGTTGTTGATAATATCTTCTACGTTCTATGTCTATATAGCTTCTAGTTTTCTATGAAAGCAGGGTGTCCAGAACTTTTTACTTCTTTCTTGTCAATTTGCATGACCAATGCCACTACAACACAGCACTGCCTGACCCTAGTTGTGAATGGTGCAAGTTTAATTCAGCCCTTAATTCATAGTGTATAGATTCAGCAACCTAGAAATTCCTTTTTTTTTTTTTTTTGGGGTATATTTTTGTGCTTTATTCAAGTGAGGGAAGAAATAAGTCTCTAAAAGAACTATCAAAATTAAGACATATTATCTCTCTCTGTTATTCTTATCTTACTGTGTTATTGCTATCTTATTTTCACCTGACCTCCCAGATTTACCTAAGTGACCTATTGTCACAGTAGTGTCATAAAACTATTTCTGCAACAAGTACTTGGCTGAGAGTGCTTGGAGGAACATAAGAACAGGGTGCTCCTTTGAATTCCAGGGTGGATTGCTACTTTTGATATACAAGATATGTCATGTCCTAAGAAACTGGTGGTCATAGTCACCTAAGATTGCATGGTGGGTCAGAAAGCATCTGGGGAGGTAGCGTTCAGTTCTGCTAGAGGCTGTAGTGTTTACCCAGCCACAGTCGCCACGTACCTTGTCTCTGAGACATCTGTCTCTTCCAGTTCACAGACATCTGAAGAAAGTGCCATTGAGACTGGTTCCAGTAGCTCTACCTTCATCAAGAGAGAGGACGAGACCATTGAGGACATTGACATGATGGACGACATTGGGATCGACTCCTCAGACCTGGTGGAGGACAGCTTCCTGTAACCCCTGGGACACCTGCCAGCTCTGCACACAGGGAGGCTTCCCGAGCTGTCTACAGACTTCTGCTCCACGGAGAAAACCACTTTATTGCAACGTCGAGGATGTGAAGAGGAGGTGGATTTGTAGAAAGGAACTCCCAGAAATGGGCAGAGGACTCAGCCCGAGTATAAATGAAAGAGACATGTTGAAGACGGATTTTTTTAGTGTTGCTTCTTGCAGTACTTCAGTAGCATCTCAGTGTTGTTTGCCATTCCAACTGGTAGGAGGATGAAGGGAAAGCCACAAACAGACCAGTTTTGTGTTTCAAGGGCATTCATATGACTTTGATGGATCAATTTTCCACTGCAGCAATACTTCTCCATTGTAATTATGTAAATAACTGTCTACTCAAGGATCTTTTGAGGTGCACATTGAACGTATGCCACGGATTTTAGAAGAGGTCATTCATGAATTCTGTGTACTTGCTCCCTCAATCTCAATGTCAGCTGCTGTTGAACTATCATGTGAATCGAAGAACATGCAAAAACCACTTGGGGACCAAAAAGGTCTAAAACCACAAGGGACTGACTGGTACTATAAAACATGTTACTTTCTACCATTAATGCAAGTAAAGGGGAATAATAATGATAATAATAATGATAATTAAAATTCAGTCTATAATAGGTGTTAGAAGACTAGTAAGTCTTTATTAACTATAGAAGGTAGCTGTTTTCAAGATAATACTACTACTGTTTTCAGTAACACTAAATGTATATTTTACAATCCATTGTCCTTCAGTAAAAGCACAGTATCAAAACACTTCTTTAAGTGCAGGGGAGAAATTTCCAGCCCAAAAATTTGTATAATTTTTTTTCTTTTTTTTTTGATCTACACAGAATGGTAATTGGTCTGGTTAGCTAAAACTACTTTAACATGGAGAAAAAATTTAAGATTTTTTTCTTTCATGAGCTGAGTAGCTTTTCTAATCAGATATACTCCAAGCAATTAGTTTTCCTCTGATTACGTGAGGTCCTAAAAATTTCAATTAAAAAAAAAAATGATACCAGATTTCCAAGATGCTGGAGAATGGAAAATTATGATAAACCACCAGCAATACCCCATTATTAGTGCTTCATGGGTACTCAAAAGAAATCTTGTCCTGAGGTTAGCTGCAAAGAATTGATTTGATATTTAAACTGTTCAAGAAACAAAGACATTTCTCCTAGCCTGAAATGCAAGTTCAAATAAGCAGAAATAAACATACAGAAAATATTCCTGTCTCAGTTTTCCAGTTTAAACAGGAGCAGAACTCTCTACTATCTTTGCAGACTCTAACTACAAAAGGCAAATGCTTCTAGGAGTGTTTTTTGGAAGAAGGTGCATGAAAATGAGTCTGCTCTCAGTCTGCAATTGTTGATTTTTTGACACCACTTATATGAACAAAGTATTTTGATTACTGCTATCACTGTACAACGTGTAATTGAGATATGATGCTTTGGAAGACTTACATGTGAAAAAAATTACATCACAGCCAAGGGCTCCATCCTTTCTGGCACTCAGCTTTCAAACTTAGCCTTAATTCAGTGCAATGAGCACCTCGTAGGATATGCCCAGCCTCTGTTACTAATTGAGATATGATGCTTTGGAAGACTTACATGTGAAAAAAATGACAGCCAAGGGCTCCATCCTTTCTGGTACTCAGCTTTCAAACTTAGCCTTAATTCACTGCAATGAGCACCTTGTAGGATATGCCCAGCCTCTGTTATGATACAACCAATGCAAATGCTGTGCAAACTCATTCCTGTGTTGCAGTATTTTCCTAGGAAGTGTGAAAGAGTGACTGACAGAACATGCTGCCTTGTTAAACTACAGTTTACCTTCAAAAGACCCTACAAAAATCTTCCTAGGTCCCCTTGACTTCACTTGTGGACAGATACAGATCATATAAAAGCAAATGCAATATTGGCAGTGTTACAGTGTGGGATGTGGCACAGGCAAATGATTCTGGGTCTGGGTTTCAAGCTGTCACCTGACTGAGGCCACACACAAGATCACAGCAAATGTGAAGACAGACCTGAAGTGAGCCCCCACATTTTCAACCCCGATGGAAGCTGACAATCAGAAGGAATGGTGGATGATGGTGCATTCTATACTTCTCTACTTCTTGCATTCGACAGATCAAGAACGAGTGTCTTCCTGGGACCATGCTTTTGTCAAACACGTCACTGAGCTCTGTACAGGACAGCTGTGAAACACAGACTCTTGACATAGCCAGGACAGATGAGACGGTGTGAAATCTCCCTCCAGTTACGAACTATGAATTGAGGAAATGCAAATTGTCTATGGATAGCCCAGATATCTGAATGGCCACTTGATATGACATGTGCCTTAATTTGCATGTGTAGTCTTTACAATTACACATTCAAATTAGGCAAGCAATTTCACCTGCATTTTTGCACATGGCCTAGTGTTCTTCAGGGTTTGTAAATCAGCCCCAGAGTGTTTTATTATATCAGTTACTGGAATCTAAAAACATTTTCATGCAGCTTTGCCTTCCCTTCACCATGCACTGTATCTCACAGTGCATCTCAGGCTAGACTCAACTGGTGAACCAGAGCTGGCTCACTTTCTGGTACATGGTAATGTTAATTCTCCATCTTGTCATGAGTATTGTACAGACCAACTGCATCCATGGCAGGGGTCTAGCCAAACCCAGCTCACTGCAGGCTTGGAATCAGACAAGCTGGCCTGGAAACTGGAATGAAAAGGAGAGGAAGAGAGAGGTTTTATTAGAGAGGGAGAAGTGTGAAAGGATGAATTGTTTAGTTTCACAATATAATCAGTATTACAGACTTTTTTTTTTATGGCTTACTTTTTGAGAAGCCACTGGAAGAGATATTCCCAAACCTTTTTCTACAGTAATTGTATAACGACAATCAGTGTTTTCCTACGAAATGCAGCTTTTGATTTGGAATGGCCAACCAATTCCTTACAGTGTGGTCTGCAACTTGTACAAAATGGTCCTATTCCATGATGAAGGACGTGAGATATGATGATGTTATACATCAATATGTATATAAGTATTTTTATATAGACTTCTAGAATACTGCAAAAACATTTATGACAGCTATATCACTGCCTTTGTTTATATTTTTTTTTACTGTGATGTATTCCACAGGCACGTTAACTGTTGCACTTTGAATGTCCAAAAGTTATATTTTAGAATAATAAAAAAGGAAGTGTTTCCAAAATGATGGCTGTTGTGAAATGTTTGAAGAAGGGCAAACTGGCCTGAGTGATGGTAGGCACAAAATGTATTTCAAAAATGCCCCTGTTGATATTTTGTCTTTGAAAAAAATCTTGTAAATTAAGATCTCTATATTTCAATAAATGATATATAATTTAAGGATATGTGAGGGGTCTATACTCACTTATTGAAAGATGGTTATAAAAAATCAGTCTTGCTCAGGGATTTTTTCCCTCAAGAGGTCTTTGAGCTCTCTGCGAAGTTCAGTAATGACAACCATGTCTCTGAGTCCTTCCACTGGGCATGGTGAGGGAGTGCTGGCAGCAAATGACCAGGACACAAAGTGACATCTGTGAGGAGTCATATTATCTCCCAAAACACAGCAGGTGTGGTGCTCCAGCACTGGGTGGGTGGGTGGGTGGGCACTGGGCTCCCTGCACGAGATGAAACCCTTGGCCTTGGCACCATGTGTGCTGGGGGGTTGATGCCTGCTGCTCTGCACACACTCAGGAGAGGCCCCTGGCTACAGGGTTTTTGAACTTGTGCTGAACTCCCCACCACTGTGAATCACACCAAATTTTTAGTATGGTTCTGTGCTCCCACAGTAATCAATTTTATACAGCACATGTAACTGAGTGTGATTCGAGAAGATTTGCAAGATTTCAACCTGGAATCAGAGTTAAACTTGGCAGCTGCACTTGGCAGCTGTCTTGGTTTTCCAGTGGGAGCCAGGCAAGGCTGGCTGTGGAAATGCCCTGTGAATGGGTAGGTTAGCAACCTTCTGTCTTTGGGCTGGTCACTGTTCTTGCTGGGAACTTGCTGGGAGATGAACTCTCCATCTAACATCTCCCCCTCATCACTCCAGTGGGGTGCAGCATCCTGGGCCCTCGCCTTAGCTAAGAGTTACAGTAGGTTGTCTCTCCTTTGTGTGTCCTTGCTGAAAGGAGTCTTTATCCTGTAATCCTGCACAGACACACACCACTTCCTGTCATCACAGGGGGACAGGAAGGAGCCCTGGAAGTGCTCGTGCCCTTGCATCCTGCTGGGCTGTGCACCTGCTCCTCTGGCAGCTCAGCAGCTGTGTGAGACATAAGGACCAATGGACTCGTAATTTCTGCTGTGGGGGTAAAGGGTGGGGGCACTGAAACATCTCTGTATGCAAGAGCCTGGCTGCAGAGCATCCTCCCAAGCACAGGGCATGGCTGTGTGTGCCTGTGAGCATCTGTCCATGCTGGGGAGCATGGATAGTGAGTTTCTCACCTTGCTGAAGTAGACCCATTCTGGGCAAAATTCTAGCTCCTTGCTCCACCATGCTGGGGGTCTGACATGAGTTCCATACATCATCTTGCTCCATGTCTCAAGGCCTCAGCAAGTATTTGGCTGGAAATGTGCTGAGGGGATGCAATGGCACAAGGCAGAGGCAGTCTGCCCAGGAAACAGGAGCTGTGAGAGAGCAGCACCGATCCAGGAGCCAAGAAGGGCAGGCTTCTGGCCAGGAGGATAGGAAGAGAATTACTTTAGGTTATGCAGGTAAAAAAAAAAATTTTGGCTATGCTGTGTTGCTATGAGTGGAAAAAGCATCAGGTTCACAAGCCAATAAGAAGTTACCCAGCCCCCTTGAGATGTCCCCCATGGCTCTGGAAACCTGGGGTGTGGTGCCTTTGCAACGTCTGAGCAAGATCGCTGTGTCCCATCCACTTATCCCCATTGTTAGAGGCTGTGTGTATGGGAGCTGTGTGCTGGCATAATCCCCAGGAAAAATGAAAGGGAAACAAAGAAAACACTTTGTAGGCTCAAAAACAAAGAGAGAAAGTCACCTCATGGATCTGGGCTAGCTCATGCAGCCAGCAGCTGAAGCAGAGTCCATACTCTGCTGGAGTCCCAGCACTGCTGCCTACGGCGAGGTGAGGGTGGGGCTCAGCACATGGGCTTGTTCTCCTGACCCCATCCCTCTCATGCACCCTTTGGCACAGCAGCTCGTATGAGACCAAAACAGAGTGGCAGAGGAGGCACCAGCCCCTTCCTCTGATGGCATTGGTGTTCAATGCTTTTCAAAGGGAAAACCTAGCTTTCAACCCCAATTCATTCTCATCCAAACAACTGGTGGTAAGGATTAGAACCACCTCTAAAAATTCCAGTGTTTCCTTTCATTTGCTAATAATAACTTTACTGAAATAAAACCTCAATTTTTTCTTTTCCAAGTTGGCCACAAGATGGAAGCAACAGACAAAAATATGTGAAATTGTTCTTTTCCTCATCCTTTCTCTGTTTTTGCTTGCACAGCAACACAGATGTACTGCCACTGCAGAGGCAGAGCAGCTGGAGCTCTTAAAGCAATAGAAGGAACACAGAGTATCCATCAGCTCCAGCTGTTTTGTTTGGAAGAACTTTGAACCTATTGTGATTGATAACTGTAGTTTTTTACAGGATGAGACTGGCAAATGCCTTGCTATCCCTGATAGTGCTGAAGGGCACTCTGCCTTTTGCCTCAAAAAACTTACCTCTTGTGGAGAGAGATGGAGGAATTTAAAATAAAATATGATTTAAGATGAGGAAAGAAGTGATACTTTAGATTTCCTAATATCACTTGAGGTGATGTCTTTTTCTCTGCATTCATTTTTTGTTGCTTTATTGCTGTGCTGGTGCTAGATGGGGAGTTAATGAACTGCTGAGCTGAGGGCCAGGTTCATGTGCCCATATGAGACTCAAAAAAATAGTTGGGACCAGCCTAATGTAAGTAGCAAGACCCCCAAAATGTAAGCCCCAGAAAGCATGGGGGCTGGAGGTCAGCTCGAGTTTGCAAGCTATTCCCTGCAGCAATCTGGTGTATCTGACTTTGCTGTATCCATCCTGCCATCAGCTCTGCTGGCCTCTGCCAGCAGGAGCACTGCCTGCTTCAACATTTCTCCATAAAAGTGATGCAAGCTTTGTAAGAAGGGGGGTGTAATTTATTAGACCACCTGATAAATCTGAAAAAAGGGAGAGGAAACTCACATCAGGTCCTCGAGCCCTTGGGGTAGGACTTGGGTAGCTAAACCTGGGTGGTGTTTTCCAGCTCTACTAATTTCCAGCTCATAAAAGCTGTCTGTTGCATATTTCCTCTGGGTGGTTGAGACAACAGCCCTTGTGTTGCCAGCAGAAGCATGTGCCAGCTGATACCCAAGTCTAAGAAAAGCCATTTAAAGGCAGCTCTAGGCTTTGAAATTGCAGCCACCTTGTCTAAGGTAAGCCAAGCTCCCAGAGACAGCTCTGCAAAAAAGCATATATAGGTGTAATTGTATTTATACCAAGTGCATTTGTGATCTTGTTGATTGAGTGCTTTTAAAGGTAGAGTTCTACTTTTTTCACAATCTATTTGACATGCAAAA